AATAGCCTGGGTTTGTGGGGGATAAAAGTGGGCTTTTTTTGACTCGTGTAACCAGCCGAATCGGCCGTTCTCTGTTGTCTAATGCTTGGTGGAGATGTGAAAGAGCTTGGTACTGGGCCCGCCTAGTTTTCAGCACTTTGCCGTTTCTCTCACAGTCCTGTGTATTCCTTTGTTTTTTTTTGGTTGTTGTTTTGATTCGGTTGCAGGCTAGCTAATGTGTGCCTCTCACCAGTTTTGGAGTCCCGCTTTTTCCCGCTCTTGATTGCCGTCTTGTGATCGTAGTTTCTGTGCGTGTGTGTGTGCCCTCGTGTCTCTATCAAGGTCACACTTTTTTTTTTGCTTTTGGTCTGGTAAATAACGGGAATCTAAACAAGCCACCAGCACTACTGATAAAAACAAGTGAAGGAGAAGAGTTGGAAGCTATGACGGAAACCAAGAAGCCTTGGGATGCACGATATGTGAACCCGGATGTTCCCCATACAAATTCGTATTACCTCAAATGTCTGGGTGGTGGCGTCATCTCTTGTGGCCTGACGCACACATTGGTGTGTCCACTTGATGTTGTGAAGTGCAACATGCAAGTGAGCCCTGAAAAGTTCAAGGGCATTTTTTCTGGCTTCAAGGTGGTCCTTGCCGAGGACGGCTGCGGCGCAAAAGGAATATGGAAGGGCTGGTTGCCGACCTTGCTTGGATACTCCATGCAGGGTGCATTTAAATTTGGCCTGTATGAGGTCTTCAAGGATTTATATGCGAACCTTGCCGGTGAGCAGACGGCAAAGCAGTATGAGGGCCTTATCTGGCTCGCAGGCTCAGCAACGGCCGAGTTCTTCGCTGATATGGGTCTCTGCCCGATGGAGATGGTCAAGGTGAAGGTTCAGACCTCTCCCAGTGGCACGTTTCCCACTGCCTTCGGTGCTGCGGTTGCAGCTATGCGCGCGGATCCCAATTCGGGATTCCCGTTCAAGTCACTTGTACCGCTTTGGTCCCGTCAAATCCCGTACACGATGGCAAAGTTCTACTTCTTTGAAAGGGTGGTGCGGATGTTCTACACCTATGTGTTTACAAAGCCAAAGAATGAGTACAGTAAGGGAACGCAGCTCAGTATCACCTTTGCTTCGGGTTACATCGCAGGTATTGTGTGTGCTATCGTCTCGCACCCTGCCGATTCCCTCGTCTCTGCGCGTGGTAAGGCGGCAAATGCGGGGAAGGGCTACGGTCAGATTGCCGCCGAGATGGGCTACCTCAATCTCTGCACAAAGGGCCTTATGGCGCGTATCCTCATGATTGGCACCCTTACCGGCCTGCAGTGGTGGATCTATGACACCTACAAGAGCACCCTCGGCCTTGGCACCAGCGGTGGCTCGGGTAAGAAGTAGTGTGGTGGTAAGTTTCTCTCCTCACTTGATTTCGCTAGGTGTGTGTGTTTTTTTTTCCTTTTTGCTTATACGAAGCAACTGTTTGATTTTGCTGTCTTTTTTGGGGCTGTTGTTGTTTCTTTGATTTGCTTTCACCGCTTGATGGGAGGAACGAGGAGGCGGACGCGCGAAGTGACGATAAGAGGCACGGAGGCAGGAGGAAGGAAAAGAAACATATATTCATAGCGATAAAGGAACGAAAGAAGCAAGAAAAAAAAAAGTAAGGGAAATTGAACGGTTGGGCGAAAGAGAAGTTATACTCTCGTTTTGCTTCTTGAGGTCTTCTTAAAAATGAAAAAGGAAAAAAAAGGGGGGAGGGGGACGACGTGGAAAAAATGTAACGACCTCTCCCCAAGTATTTGGGGGTTGGTATATGCATATATGTATATGTATGTATGTATGTATGTATACCAGGAAGACAACTTTGTTTGGAGATTCTTCGCTTTGGTGGCTGCGGCCTCACCTTCGTCGCCATCGCTCTCCCTCCCCCAGGCACGAGCCTCTGCATGCATGGGAGGGGTGTGCGCGTGGGTGCCTCCACGGCCTTCCACGCACACCGCTGCCGCAGCTGCATGAAAAAAGGGTTGGGTAGGTGGACCGCGGCAGAGGGAGAAGAAAGGGAGTCATGCCACGCAAGATAAACTCTACCGCTGGGGAAGAGGGCCACTTACCTATACCAAAAAGTGGGCAAACGGGAAACAAAAGAGAGAGCAGAATGAGGACGCAACTTTAACACCAGAGGCAATTATTTAGGGAGTGAAGCAATAAGGCTAGGGGAAAAGTGTATGAAATGAAGAAGTAATTCAAGAAGAGCGGGGGGCGGGAAAAGGACAGGAAAGAATAGTTTGCGTCTCTGCCCGTGTGTGCGTTCGAGGGGGAGCGGAGATGCGGCACGGACGTGAGGCGGACTAGTAAGCTGCTGTTGCTCATGATTTTTTCTTTTCCCTCTTTCCCCATTGACGTGTGCATTGGCGTCCTTTCACCTGTCGCGTCCCGGCACCGCCGACGAAGAGAGACAGTGCCGTGTTGTCCGTCCTACGGCCGGAGCGAAAAGGAGGGGGTGGTGATGTAATGAAGAAAATAAGACTAGGACTCAAATAAGTGCATATAAGAAACACACACATCAGCAACCAGGTAAAGGGGAGAAGAGATAATGCCGCGTGAAAGGTTTAAAGACTTATTACGTGTGGTACATACCGGCTGAATGGAGTTAAGAAGGGAGGCGTGAATAAAAGAAAAAAAAAGTTCGGCGCCTTTTTTTCCTAGTGTGTGTGTGCGTGTGGGTTCTGGGGTGGGACCGAGTGGGAAGGAGCAAAGACAAAAGCAGGGAAGTAAGAAAGTTGTGAAGCGTTTTTTTTTTTCCTGTTCCGAGAAATACATGATGAGAGAGTGAAGGGTGTCTGTATTTACTCATATTTTGTAGTCGTTGTTAGGACACCCCTCGCCGTAGGCTCCCTTAATGTTGCCTCCGCCAGATGCATGATGCCACGCACAGTCCGTTTCGTTTCCTGTATTGTGGGAGATTTGTACTCTTCGTTGGCTTCTGCCCATGGGACTCGTTTTTCTTAGATTGGTGTGTTTGCTTGCTTGTTTGTTTGTTTTTTCCTTGTCCAGGCGCTCCTTCTCTTTCACTCTTCCTTTGTGTTCTGGGTGTCGTCTTCTAAGGTTCCATGTAGTTGATATTGTTTTTTTTCCCCTTTCGTGATTGGTCTTTTATTGCCTTCTAGTGCCTGTGGCTCTTTTGGGCGACGCGGTGAGGAGAGGCGGCGACGGATGAACCCGTCCGAGACCACGTTGAGCGATGCGGAGCGGTACTCGATCTGGTGTGAGGAAGTGCGGGCCCTCTTCTCCCCCACTGGCACAGGCGAAGAGGACGACGCGGCTGCAACGGAAGCTGATCGCCCGCAGGAGTGGGGGAGGGCCGAGGACGGTGGAGAGTTCCCATACTGTTTCTACATGCGCATGCTCAGCGGTGGGTCGAAGGAGGCGGTGACGCACGGCATGCCAGACGCACATCGGAGCTGCAGTAGTGGCATTGGCAGTGTCAATGGCGGTGGTCGCAGTGACTGCTGCTCATCCACCTCTCAGCACAAGGGGCGACAGATACTCATAGATGAAGACGCGTTAGCAGCACGAGTTGCCGCCAAGCTAAATGCGCATGCCCGCAAGCTTCGACGGAAACATGAGGAGAATCGCGCTGAGGTGCGGCAGGTTGCCGACAATCTGTGGAACTTCCGTGATGGAAGGGTGGAGGCAGTAGCGTCCAAAGTGAATGAGGAACTTCACGAACTGCTCATGTACGTGCGACGTCGAAACTTGTTGGCGGAGCAGTTGCGTCGACAGTTAGTGCAAACCAAACAGCTTCTCCTTCAGCAAAAAGAGAAGCCGTGAGCAGGTAGGCGTTGCTTTGCCTTCAAGTGCGCCGTAAGCGCGGGCACAAGAGAAGGATGTACGCTGTCAACCCACCCACTAAAAAAAAAAATACACATAATTCACAGAAGAGGGAGACAGGTTTGCTTTGCTGTATTATTTTTTTTCCAAACCTAAAGGAACTTTGCTAGAGGCTTCTACAAATAATGTTCGACACGATGGGGCCCAGTAGGTGGTAGCGCGCCTTGGTTAACTGCGTTGTGCGTTGACTGATTACATGCTTCTTTTGTTTCTTTCTTTGCAGCGAAAGCCGCATTGGAGGGAGGCGCAATGGATCTTTTTCTTTTTCTTTCTTCTTTCTCCCCCACGACTTCGAACACCATTCACGCGGAGGGGCGTCCGGCGGTTGGGTGCCCTCCCTCTACACACGCACGCCGCCACTTTGTGCGTTCGCGGCGCGAGACTGGCTCCCATCGCCGTGCCCCGTTTGCAACCGTTTACGTGTTGTGCTTCTGCTTGCTAACCCCCGCCAAATCGAG